TTAAAACTTCTTAAAGTCCCTTTATGTGCCACTTGGTATTCCAAACCCAGAGATTTCCAGCACAACTAAAGTCCAGCTAAGTAGGAAAGTCCTGTTTAGGAAAAGTCCTTATACCTCTGTTTCTGTTCCTTAGTTGTGAACAAAGCTCTCAGTCTCATTAAAAAATGTGCAATTTGGCTGATGGTTTCAACTGTAATCTCTAATCTACCTTAACAAGATTAGGAAAACTTGACTCCTACGAATTTAATAAGATCTGTCCCACGAACATAATGAAAGCTATAGATAAAAGAAAAAAAAAAGATCCTAGCCCTTTGGAATCATTTGATATCTTTAGAAATTCCTGATTTTAGAATCTAGAAATTAAAGAAAATTATGTTGAAATTATCACTAGAACCAAATGACATGGCACATTTCAAAGACAAAAACCTAAAATTACCTAATAACTATTCAAGCTTGCGGCTTGACTTTTTCATGAGAGTTTGTGGACAGTGGAATAAAAGAAATTTCTCATTGTGTTCTGTGTCAAACAAGTGGTGTACCAAATCAGTAAATACTGGCAGTCAGACTGGATAAGTAAATATAGCATGCCAGATCAAAATCTGAGTGAATATTTTTCTGAGAGTAGCTTTTGAATTGAAAACTAGTTTCAGTTTACTCTGAATCTGAAAAAAATCAGCTCATAAGTGTCAGTTAATTTATTCTGGGAAAATATTTACAGACTGGAAGGGTTTTTCAGGCTTTCTGTTGTAGGCAGATCATTTTTACCTAAAGGAGAGAAAGAGTTTTGAACACTGATTTTCCATTTTTCTCAGTATTTTACCCACATTATGTGTATACATAGCAGAGGGAGATAAAAGTCCTCCAAAGAAGCACTCGCAGAACCCTTTCATCAGTATTCCACTTCACATGGACTAGAAGGGTATTCTTGTTCTTCTTTCCAAGATGAATTCCTAATTATCAATCACATGAGGAAATATTCTCTAGAGCAGATAGTATTTAAATACTCTCTGCACAACTACACTGTCATCATCAGAAGAAGAAATTAAGGAGGTCCTACCCCAGAAAAAAACATTTATCACAAAGTTAAGTATATTCTTCTGGGAAATAGGCAATATGAGTTCATATGTCTTTAAGAAAAAAGGATTCAAAATTATTACTTCTATGTAACTGCTCTAATTGAGTTAAAAGGAGATGATACCACTTGGTCCTGCCAGTTTCTGTAGTCTGTCTTCTCCTTGGCTTTGTTTTGGCTTTTAATCTATTCTTTGGCCTGGAATAAATTTTTATTTTATCAAGAAAAAATAAGTTTCAAATCAATCTTTGCTGTTATTTTCTTTTTTTTGCTTGATGAGCAGGATTTGCACAAACCTGTTACTTTCACACTAAATGATAAGGGATGCATTCTTCCATTATGTGTTAAAATATAATTGAAGAGCTATTCAAATTCAAATTAATGATTATGTATTAAATAATCTAAGTAGTTTATCTGCATACAGTTGTCTTTCTTTGACAACTCAAAAGATGAAGATTAATGCAAGTTCTGTGAAAAGAATATAACATTTTAAAACATATTAAGATGTGAAGATTTTTAGTTTTCATTCATTGAACAAGTGCTGAAGCTCAGAGGGGAAAATTGCTCTATTTGTGTAATGAAATTATTTTGGGAATGACATTCTGTACTTTTGTTTTATCACCAGCCAGATTGATCTTAAAAGAGACAGAAGCTTATGTTCTAGTGGTTTTACATAAGACTTCTTTTCATCTTAATCCTGCCATTAGGGAAACTGATGACAAGGATACTAAGGGAGTTGACTTAGATATTACTTATCACATTCATTTACAAAGAATAAAACTTTTATTTCTCTTTTTTTCCTACCTTTTAGACAGTGGAATTTTAGTCCAGTACTACAGAAAGCTTAAAATACTGAAAGTTTTACACTGGTTTAGTGTTTGACCTGACTTTTCTCACAGTAAAAGAAAAGGTATTGAAATCTTCTGATAGGGGATCATTTCTAGCTTAACTGTCCACATTTGTTTCTCATCTCTGGATCCATGTAGGTTGTCCCACTGCCAAACAGGATCTTTTTTCTCCATCTTCTCCTGTGTAATCTTACACTGAATTTATTTTGTCCAGCATAATTTTTAACTATTTGCTGTTACTTCTTTAGTATTAAAAATATTTACATTTAACCTAAAGGATCATATATTTGATCATTTATCTTGAAGCTTGGTAAGATTTTTTTTTCTTTATCATGAGAGTGAAATCAATTTTTTAAGCTCAAAGTAATTTCTTTCTGTAACTGTTAAAGTTCCAAATATGCACATAGAGTTTGTTGCACTTTGTTGTTTACCAACAAGTTGTAACTCAAGTTGTTGTCTAGGATCAAACTAATAATTTTAAAAGTTCATTTAATACTCCAGGAAAAAATGGAGAAAACTTTTTACTCTTTAGGCTTTGGTCATAAAATAACTGGTTTTGTCAGTGGCACTTCTGCAATGGTTTTACCTGCCTTCTGTTTATGCTCATGTTTATTTTTTATTTTCCAACTGTATTTGGCACTCAACACCAAAAGTTTCCTTCTTCTATTTAGTTAAGTATTAATAGAAATTAGTAAAAATTGTATTAAATATTATTTTATCAAGTAATAATTGTATCAGAAAAAACCTGACAACAAACAGTCCTAGTGGTAGATGGTTTACCATAGATTTCTTCATAGGTTTTAAATCTAAAAGGTACTATTTGTATCAGCTGTCTTCCTGAGTGTTGTGGGCCGTGCTTAAGTTAGCCTGGTAGTAAATACATTAGCTAGACTGTAGCTTCTGTAAATGTCATGAGTCAAAACCACCAGGACATGGAGATCACTTACTGTCTTCTTGTGTTTGAACACCATCTTCGTAATGAATTTGCCTTATTTGTCTCCTGTAATAGAAAATCGGCATGTTGTATTGGCTGTAAAGCTATAATATCCATGCTATTCCAACAAATAATGGCCAATAGGTAAGTGTCAAATCATATTAACTTCTGTCTACTAGTGATATTTGCAGCTATCTAGTAGGTAAATAATACATCTTTAAATTTCCCATACAGAAGGAGCAAAATGAGCAGCTGTCTGTGGCGAGCATTTCCCTGTGGCCGAGTTAAACATTAAGAGAGGTTTCTGGTAGCATGATAGATTCTGCTATGGGTGTCTGTGCCACAAATCTAAAAGAAAGAGACTTTTGACTATTTCTGAATAGTAGCATAAAGTAGCAAATACTGCTACATTGGGGGATTCTTCCCTTCCAAGCAATATTTCTGTGAATGGTTGCTTGCAGTTTGCAGGTGTGTATTCAGCTATAAATATCAAATATTTTGGGGGACTTGTGCTATCTCTGATTTCATTTTGATTTATTAAAAGTCACTTCTTGTTTTTCAGTACTGGAAGATGTTACTGTAACATAGCAATTTGCCCGAGGAGTACAGTTTGTGCTGTGAAGTTAAACCAGTTTTCTAGCCAAGTCAGTCTCAGCTAGATGAAACTTCCAATGAAGATTGAGTGTTTCTATTATTAAAGTAGAAGAACTGGATATTAAACCTTTCATTTATCCTTGTCACTAGGTGCAACCACTGTTCAGAAGGAAGCGCTCCTTGTTATCTTTTAAGGACAAAAATATTATTAGATACTGTGGTCACTGTGCTTTAAAATATTATTCGCATGACAGATCTTTGTAATGGTAGTAAACAGTTTAGTCCGTTTTTTTTACTTTTGGCCTTGAATGTGGAACACTGGGGGGAAAAAAAAAGCAAACAATGCTTTTAGTTGTACATCCTAGTGATATAGGTGATTCAGCAACTGTAGTATTGATGCATTTTGAAATGCCCAAGTGTTCAGCGAGGATTTCAAAGAGACCTCACTAGGAGTCATGGTTCTTAGGTTAATCCTTTATTTATCTGAAGGCTGAAGAAAACTGTCTACTTCTGTGATATGAACTGTAGTCATCTTAAAAATAATTGACAAATTAATCCCCTCACAGCACCACAATTGTAAAGGTGTTAGGTTTAGCTAGGCTTGTCTGATTGCCTTATCTTATGAAGAATAAAGATGCTAACTTTGATGTCTCAGATTTAAGAGGGACATCCCAGACCCAAAAATCATGTGTGTTTTAATTATTAATCCCACCATTTCTGCCCACAAAACCCTTTCTGCAGAGTTATCCTCACACCAGAAGGCTAAAATAAAAACTTCTGCCGGTGATGTATGAGAAGGCATGCAGGATTTTTAACCTTTGGAAAGTTGACCTATAAGAATAATTGGTAAATTGATCTTCCTGCAGCATAGAATAATTTGCATTCTTTGCCCCACCTTTAGTCATGTTATCTGGTGTTTTTCATTGCAAACCCATTGATAGCTACCAGTGCAAGTTCATTTCAGTAAAGTTAATTGTGGAGCTACTACTTAGTATTTGTAAAAGTATCCATAACTGTGCCATAAATTAATTAATAGATGTAATCAGTTTTCATTTTCCAAAGTCAAAAAAATCTTACATTTTAAATCTATGTCTGCTTGATCAACTTTGAGTATATATGCTTCTATTTCAAGGTAGAAATCTGTTGCTCTAGGCAGCACTTTTTTAAACAGGATGAATGTTTTGATAATTTGGTGTGGGGCCTCATAAGGAAACAGCATAGTCAAGCATGGAATGAAGATAGTTTAAAAGCTTTTTAACCATTGTTGCAGTTTTCTAAACAACAAAGACTATTTGTCTTTACCAGAATATAATTTAAAACTTCCTCCTTTACAATAAAATCGAGGTGTGAGGTTTGGTTTTGCTGTTTTTACTTCTCTAGCAGGACATTACGTTCTGTATGTTTCTTTTGTGATATAAATGCACCCAAAACCATAGTAACAGTGAGGAACCCAATCCTGCAAGCCCTGCCAGGAGTCCAAAGTTTGGCCATTTGTTTAGCTTGCCTAATATTGCCCTTTTTGCACATCACAGATTCTCTTCTTCTCTTGCAGGTGAACGAAGCCACAGTGGAGCAGCTCGTGCAGCAGTATCCACATATAACCTTCAGTACTGTACTGCAGGATTGCAAGAGAACATTAGAACGGGCTTATCAGCTGGGCTGGACACCCAACATGTCCCCTGCCTCTTAAACTTCTGTACCAACATGACAGTTCCACTCTGCTGCATTCAATAGATCTAATGGGGATTGCAGAAGGGTTTATAACCTTTCATCTGATGCAATATAGTTGTGAGTTTACAGAGGTTACAGTAAAATGGCAAAAGCTGTACACTGACTTTATTGTACTGTACAACTAAGTACTAACAGTGAAGCAAAACTTTAGAAATGTATCGTGGGTTTGTTTGCATAAAAGTTATAAAAGCCTTTGGCAAATTTCTTGAAGTGGATTCCTACTAGTTCTCTGGATAGTTTGAGTTATAGATGTTAAGCTTGTTTTCCTCTGTTTACTTTGCCTTGGTCGTGTGTGTTTCCTTTGATCTATAAATGGTGACTCAGTGCTAGCACCAATGCAGTTGATCAACAGAGGCGTATGTTGAAACTGGGGACTAAACTTGATGCTTATTATTTACGAAAGCTTATTATTCACTTAAACCTCAAGGAGGTTTTAAGATACACAGTAATAGGAAAATCTACAGTGAATTGCTACTTTGTTGTAAACATTTTTTTTCTTCAAATATAAGAAGCTGTAGCGATATTAAAATCTTTCCACCTTAATGGATTTTACAATGCAAAGAGTGCTTACCTTGAGAATGCCATCTGAACACGGGTCCTGTCATGGGTACCATTTTGTAGGATCAGATATCAGATGCTTTTTAATACAGTGTATGCAAGAAAATATCCAGAGTAAACACATAAAATGATTCATTTTCTGTCACATTGCATTCTAAAGAGTTAAGTTTGAGCAGGGGATCGTGAAAATACAGACACTGCAGCTTCAATTTGGAGTTGCCTTAACCTTTAGAGTATTACCATTTGGTTAAGAATGTTGTCAGGTGTGTAACACTGGATATTTGTTCTTCAAAGGTTACAGCATTTTAATCCAAAATATGAAATGCTTAAGCTTCAGGTGAAAAGTTGCCATTATTATCAAAATGTTTTGCTAATCCAGAAGGCCTAATGCACCATAACATAGAAGCTTGTTTAGTATGGCTGTATAACTCTCTGTAAAACTGTTTGTTGATTTCCATAGCATAATTTTTTACAACAGAAACATCAGCTCACAGAACTTCCAGTGGGGATGTTTTCTTATTAGGCTTTTCAATATGGGGATGAATAATTTCTCTGGAAAAATATATATGGTAAAGATTTTGTTTTAAATAAGTGGTAAATACTTGTGAACATGTGTAATGCTATGCTTTTTATTTACTCCAAAATGGCAACAATATTTTGAGAATAAGCCAGTTAATTATATTGCAGATATAGTACAGAATCTTAGTCATTTTTCTTTTAATGTTAAAACTATTCACACAATTTGTAAGTTTCTATTTTTTGTGAAACCTTTGATCTTGCAATAAATTTTAATATAAAGAAGAAAGTTGTGATGTTTTCTGTTTATCTGTGCTGGTAACTGTACTTAGATTATACTTAACAGAAAGACTGAAATCTCCATCCTTGACTAGGTATAACTCGCCTGAACATGATCCTGAACAAACTGATCCAAGCTGGCCCTGTTGTGACTGACAGTTTGACTAGATGACATCCAGAGATCTTTTTCAATCTTAAATTCCCTCTAACTCTAAGGATTTTTTATATATTATGGATCTGGTTGGTCATCTGTTTTCACGTCTGCCATTTAAGTCACTCTCAGTAGTTTTGCCTTTTACTAACTATTTATCTCTCATTTTTATGAACATAATAATCTTTATAAATATCACTGTGGCTAATTAATTTCAAGTTATGTGGTATAAAAACTCTAGATGGAAGTATGTTTTTTCTAATTGCAATGTTGACATAGGTAGCTCTTTAATTTCCTTGTAATAAATCAATGCTTCCTAAGAAGTTTTAGAGGAATAAATAACAGTGCGGCACACTCTTTCATATTTGAAATGTTATGTAGGGGAAATACCATTCAGGGGGAAAAGAAAAGCTATTGCCTCTTGTAAAAATGAAAATTATCCTTTTTTTCTCTTACTCAAAACATACAGTGTATCCAAAGCTCACAAGCAGCTTACTTGCTGGATTTGCTAGATTCCAAAAGGTTTATTTTACTGGAAAAATATGTATTTTTTCCTTCAAAATCTTTGTGAGAACCGGCTGTTAAGGTAGGTAACCTGTGGCTCAGCACTTGTCTTATCAGAGACATTTCTAGGCTGGGCTTGTTCAACCTGCAGAAAGGGCTAGGACAAATTCTATGTGCTGTCTTAACTGGAAGATATATGGTCGTAGAAGAAAGACAGATAACCTTTCTTTTCAGTGATTCACTCTCTAAATCCAGGTGTAATTCTGGCTTAAACAGTTCACCTGGTGGTCACTGTTCCCATCTCTCACCACCTAAAGGTGATGTGGAGGGAAGTGTTCTCATGCAATTTGTCTCAGCAGGGGAAATGGCTACTGTGATATTTCACATGCAGGTTCAAAATCTTTTTGCCCAGACTCCCAGATTAGTGGGAAGTTTAGTGCAATGCCAAATCCAAGCTGGCAGCCCTCCCTTCTCTGCAAGTGCTCTGTGTAGTACTAGGCATATTCTGGTCATCTCTGAGCAGGGACAAAGTGTATTTCACTGAAAAATATCATAGGTGGGGATAAACTGATCTCAGTAAGGCCACAAGTGGCTACTGGCAGTGACTTACAGCATTCTCAAAACTGAAAGGTCTTGCTGTGCTTCAGGAACTGACTGTTTGACCTTCAAAACTCAGCCATGGCCCCAGACCCCCACTGGCTTCACTCACAGAAAACATTTCTTCGCTTGTAAGTCCTGAAAAAGAGTTTGAGCCATCCTTGATATTTTCCTAGAACTATTAAACTTACCAATCTGTATAACTGTTTTTTTTAAAACATTTTGGTCAAAGATCTGGACAAGCTTGAGAAGTGGGCCCATGGAAATCTCATGAGGTTTAGCAAGACCAAGTGCTGGTTGGGGCAACCCCTGGTATCAACGCAGGCTGGGGGATGAACAAATGGAAAGCAGCCCTGCTGAGAAGGACTTGGGGAGCTGGTGGGTGAGAGGCTGGACATGAGCCATCAGTGTGCACTCAGGGGCAGAAAGCCAAGTGTGTCCTGGGCTGCATCCAAAGCAGTGTGGGCAGCACATGAGGGGAGAGGATTCTGCCCATCAGCTCTGCTGTGGTGAGATCCACCTGCAGTGCTGCACCCAGCTCTGCAGTTCCTGAAGGTAGGGTAACCGAGGTCCTTGTTAATGGATCTCTTGGGGCAGATCAGAGTGAAACAACACTGAATTACCAGTGTTTATATGTATATATATGTATGGCAGGTTTATTTTAGAACAGTTTGGTTGCAATGGAGAGGAGGTATGTAGCCCTTTTGGTTGTTATTGATAGAAATATAAAAGTATAAAGGTGTCACTTAAGAAAATATATAAGGAAAAGAAAGAGAAAGGATAAGAGTAGATAATAACACCCAAAACCTCTCCTCTTCCCCTTCAGTTGAGGGGTGCACACCTGCCCTCAGCAAAGCTCTTGCTGCTTTTGCCAGTGGCCCATTGTTTGAGTCCAAAAACCATAAACATTTCAGTCTCTCACTGTCTCTTCTCTGCACAGGAAGGATATTGATTGAGAACAGAGGAGGCCATCAAGATGATTAGAGGGATGGTGCACCTCTCCTATGCAGAAAGGCTGAGAGAATTGGGATTGTTCAGCCTAGAGAAGAGAAGGCTTTGGGGTGACGTAATTGCAGCCTTCCAGTACCTGAAAGGAGCCCACAGGAAAGAAGGAGAGGGACTTTTTACAGGAGCCTGTAGTGACAGGAAAGGGGGAATGGCTTCAAAAGGAAAGAGAGTAGTTTTAGATTAGGTATTAGGAAGAAATTATTCCCTATGAGGGTGGTGTGGCACTGGAACAGGTTGCCCAGAGGAGCTGTGGCTGCCCCATCCCTGGAGATGTTCAAGAACAGGTTGGATGGGGCTTTGAGCAACCTGCGCTAGTGAAAGGTGTCCCTGCCACAGCAGAGGGTTTGAAAGTAGATGATCTTTAACGTCCTTCCAACGCAAGTCATTCTTTGATTATATGAAAACAAGCTGTAATCCCTTGTGAACGAGAAAATAGCTCTAGTAAGAATAATTACCAAACAGTTTATTTTTTCAGGCTCTCAGCTGGCTTCCACATGAGCTCAGTGATGTCCACTCAGATTCTCAAGATAAATATGGCTTTGCTGGTGTTTGATAAACTCTAGTGTTGACAGGAGCAAAATCAATAAAGGCAGCAAGACACATACACAATGGTTACATGAAAACAGAGGCACAGAGCAAGCTTTGTAGGAGGCTGACAGGGCCTTTTTCAGGTGCTGTGATCTTTAACAAGGAAAGGAAAAGAACTGTTATATCTTAATAAATAATTAGGATAGGATAAGGTAGGATACACTATAATCTATAATGACCATCTAGTCCAACTATCCAACAGGGCTGATCAGAAGGCAAAGCACATTACAAAGGGCATTATCCAAATGCCTCTTGAACACTGACAATCTTGAAGAATCTGTCTAGGAAGCCTGTTTCAATGTTTGACCACCTTCTTGGTAAAGAGATGTGTCCTAAAAAAAGAATGCATTGCAAAATAATAATAGTAAGAGCATATGTATAAAGACTGTGATGATATTTGATCTTGTAAATATTCAGAATTGTATTTTAAATTTGTATTTTAAAGAGTTTATGCTGCTTGTTTATGAAATTCCATATTAACAGACAGTCACTTTAAATCTCATCCATTTAAAGAGTCTATTACAATAAAATTATTTAAAACAATGTTAACTTTCCTTCTGTAATTGTTTTTCTTATGGCTTTCTCCATAATTGACCTGTGATCTTGGCAGTATAGGGGACTGAGATTTGAAGTTCTGGTAAATTTAGAAGCAGAGTTACCAAACTTTTTTTTTAAACCACAGACACCCTGGGAGATGTTCCAGGCTTGAGCATGTAGAATCTACCATAGATTGGCACCACTTAAAAATCAAATAATCCTTTGTGAGAGTAGTTATACTTTGCCAATCTAAACAGGGTGGGTACACAGTCAAATTTTGTGACTCGTCATTTTATGGGGTCTTATATTTCCAAGTCTTGTTTAAAAAAAAATGAGGGCACTAAATGCTTTGAGATTCCTTGCCTCCCTGTGCTTGGCTCCTTCCATATATTGTCTATACATGCAATTGTTGTAGGTGACCTGAGTTGCTGGAGAACTGTCAAATGTCAGCTGTTCCCCTGTATCTTTTCCTGCATTAGGCTCAGATTAACATGAGTGAATAGGCTGAGTCCCACCACTGCAGCTGTGGTTCCTTGACTGAACACACTTTCACAAGCTGGAGTAAGGTAGCACAGAAGTAAAGATCTGTGTAACAGCCACATCTTCACATCTGTTAAAAAGAAACTGAAGCCAAAATTCTTTTGTTTAGTTTTAGGGTGTCAGGATTATATAAGGAAAATCCAAATGTTTCACCTTTATAAAGTTTTACTAATGGATTATGTTTCAGATTTATTTTAGGGCAAAAATCAACAATAGCAGCAAGCTGAACTGCTTCCTCTTCAATGTTCAGGCACATCTTTCTATATACAGCTTATGAAAAGTGTTTGTGTATAAATAAACCTTAGAAGTCTTAAAAATAAAAATTTTACGACTGGGATTATTGGGCATTTCCATCTGCTATGAAGTTATAAAGGCTTCTGGACTGAAAATTTCATAATCTCATAATTTCATCATGTACCCCTATTGCAAACCGCTACAGCCTCTGGTGTTTTCTAAACACCCAGTTACAGAAATCTTCGAGAATTTTCTTAGCAGCACTAACTTCCAGTGAGCACAGTTAACTTGTCCCTGGTGCCTTGCTTTGGCTTCTCTTTGAATCAAGATCAGCATCTCAGTTCCTACTTTTCATGGGCTAAATTATTATCTTCATGCTGTTGTTTTAGTCTGTGGTCACTTTTCTTGACCATGTTATGTGAGCCACGGTCTCTGAACCAATATCAACTAAGCTCTGCTGTCAGGGATGGGTATTTTTCTCTTATTGATACACAAAATACTTCATACTGGTGGTGGCCCTTGACTTGGCACTGTGTATTTTCCAGCACATGACATTAGTTTCTGTGGCTACAGTTCTTCTGGCAGCAAAAGCAGTGCCAGGAGCACTGCTGGGCCGTTGGATCACTCCAGCCATCACCAACATGCTCTTGGCCCATAACTTCTGACTCTCCCCTAAACAAGTTCCATGTTAATGATGCCCAGTAGCTGTCTCCTTAGGCTCTGTGGATGCAGCCACTGCTTCCTGAGGGCAGGAAGGTTTAATGGCACGGGCATGTGTTGTCCTGTACCCATCAGCCTCAGCACCAGAGAGCTGTCCTGGGAAAATTTGATTTACTCATGCAGACATAACC